GTAGTTTAATTCTTCATGTCTGCCCCCTTTTATTAAAAATAGGACTACATTTACTGTCTTCCATACCTCAGGTAGTCACCCAGTGTGATAGATGTGTTGAAGATTGTTGTTAGTGGTACACAGAGTGCCTCTGCTCAAGACCCAAGGAGAGAGGTTATCTGTCCCCATCGCCTTGAGATATCTAGTTCACTTAGCATCCTCTTCACCTCCTTGGTTGTATGTATAGTTTCCAGCACTTGGTGTATCTCGCCTCTGTCTTTCTGGAGTCCTTTCTGTTTCCACTTTGAATACTTTGAATTTCACGTTGAGCTCCTTGCATACTTCAAGGTCGTTTCTTGTAAACTCCCCTCCTTCCTTTCTTAGCCTGATTACCTGGTCTTTGACTTGTTTTATTCCTGATGTGACTGTACAACAGCTTCAGGTTGGCCTTGGCTTTTGCTGCTATGTCATTTTCATGTTTATTGTTGGGCCTCCCTCCTTACCTGTGCATATGAAGTATGTGTTGAAGTATATGTGGAAAGAATGAAGTTGATGTACAGTCAAAAAAGGGAATTGACAAGAGTATAATGTTGCCAATACTTTTACATGGGTGTGAAGGATGGGTTTTGATGGCTGCAGCAAAAAGGCGGCTAAAGGTAAGAGAGATATCTTGTTTGAGAGTAATGTGTGTCATGAATATCATGCAGAGAATTCAAAGTGTAGAAATTAAGTGGTATTGGGTGACCACATATATAATTCAGAGGGCCAAAGAGGGGTTGTTGCACTGGTTTGGGCTTGCAGAGAGGATGGAGAGGGATAGGTTGACAGAGGGTGTACAAATTTGGGGTGGAAGGTAGGAGGGGTTGGGAGTTTTCTCAGGAATGGTTGGAGGGAGAGGGCATGAGAGGCTTTGAGTTTCAGGGGGCTTGAGCATCCAGCAGGTGTGTATGAGTGTATTTGATACAAGTGAATGGAGACAGTTGTTTTCTAATGGACATGCTGCTGGAATATAAGCTAGGTAAGTTTTATAAAAGGACTTTGGGAAGCCAGTTAGCTGGACTTGAATCCTGGAGGTGGGAAGTACAGTTGAACCTTGGTTGTCGATTTCACTACTTGTCGAATATATTGGTTTTCGAATGAGGTGTTTAAGGAAAAAATGTTCTGTTTTTTTGTACGTTCTTTTGGTTGTCGACTCTGGCATGCAAAGAGTATGTTAAAATTTATTCGGCGTGTGTCGTACTCCCATACAGGCTGCCTCCCAGCCAGCGAACCAGGGGCTAAGGGTTTAACGATCAGTAAGGTTCCTGTCGTCAAATCAATACCTTGGTTCATTGACCAATCACAGGCAAGCCTGCCAAAATTGAAGTAACATGGTTCACTTGTGGTAAGCATTGGTAGACTTGCCAACCTGCTGGTTGAATACGGTACACACACCCTGCTTTCTGCTTTGCCATCTGTCACTGTGGTGTACACTTATTATTATTCTATCTGTACATTTTGTACATATCTGTATATAGTGGGTGAAGGCAAATATACATTATAATCTACTGCTGAGTCTGTTTGCTCCAATTTCCATTACGACCAGGTCTCGCAGGCTATTTATTACCTGTGTTTGTAATATAGGATAATATAGCATCCACTGTAGTACTGTTAATTTGAAGCCGTTCCTCTGGTGGCAGATTTAATAATTAAATTTGTTTCATATTAATGGTGATTTGTTGGTCTTGATCTTGACTTTTCTTGCAAATTTACTTCGTATTTGATGACTGGGATGTTATAGTTTCCATTGTAATATGGGTGAAGGTAAAATATTAGCAATTATTCAAGTTTAGAGATCCAAAGAAGTTTATATATTTTGGACCTATTTGTCTAGTAGAATAAATAACTATATCAGTAAGTGAAATACAATGTCTAAAATGTTCTAATGCTATATGAGACATTGTATGGCAGAAAAGAAAGTGCCAAATTCAGACAATAGAGAAAAATGCCGTTAAAGTTTTGCTGTTTATACTGACTTGTATCTGGCTGTGTGAAAGACAGTTATGATGTAACACAAGACAGTGTGGTGACTGCATTCCCACAGACACAAAACATTAAGAAATAAATTTGTTCACTAATCGGAATTTTGGCCTTGGTGGCACTTATTCTTTTCTGCCATGCAACTCCTCTCATATGGAAGATACTTGAGGGCCTAGTCTTAAATCTACCCACTACCATATTGTCATAATGTACTGGAGTGAGAGACGGGATGAAGTTTACAATACCCAGTGAAAAGCAGGGGCATGATGGGCCCAGTGAAAGTTACACTTTGTCAACATCATTGGCACAAGAGTATTCAACTTGCTACCAGCAGATATCAGGAACAGTGCAGGATCACATGTAAAAAATTTTAAAAGAAAACTGTCACTCTCTTTGCCAAGTGCCCAATCACCCAGGCTCTGATGATTGTGGGTGTCACCAGGCCTCCAATAGCAAGGCCTGGTTGAACAGGGCACAATAGAAATGCCTTGCCACAGACCTTGCTGTGATGGAAGCAAACTTGCAGCTGATCACAGGTACCAAAATTGAGTTTTAACCCTTTCAGGGTTTCGGACGTACTAGTACGGCTTACGCACCAGGGTTTTTGATGTACTAGTACGCCTAAATTCTAGCTCACTCAAATCTAGTGAGAGAAAGCTGGTAGGCCTACATAAGAAAGAATGGGTCTGTGGTCACTGTGCGCAGTATAAAAAAAAAAAAATCCTGCAGCACACAGTGCGCAATGAGGAAAAAAAAACTGACCATGTTTTTGGATTAAAACAGCGACTTTGCACTGTATTTTTGTATGGTATTTATTGTTGTATTCTAGTTTTTCTGGTCTCATTTTATAGAATGGAAGACATATTACAGAAGTTCAGATGATTTTGACTGGTTTTACAATGGAAAAAATACCTTGAAATTGAGCTCAAAGTAGCAGAAATGTTCAATTTTTACCAAAGTTCAAAAGTAAACAAATCGTGCTAATCGTCCAATACACATCAACTGGGGAGTCTAATATTCTTTCACAAGTGCACCAATATTATTTATACCATTTCTACACTAATGCAGTAGTCTGCATAACAGTAAATCTATTTTTTTTTTTTTTTTGAGAATAAAAATTCAAAGTGGAAAGCAAAAGAATGTAAGAGGGGCGTGTGGACGTGACTAATGAACAGAGGAAATGTTATTTTAGTGCCAGGAATGTCTTTCTTGTTTATTCTGGACCCTATTTGGAAATTGGCATCTTTTGAAATTTGTGAAATTGGCAAAATTGCTAAATTCTGACCACTGTATTGGATAGTTGAAATCGGTAAATGGGTGATTTTTTGTACTCATTCGATAGAAAAAATGGAGTTCTAGCGAAATAGTTATGATTTTTGTCGACTAGTACATTGGAATTGGCCGAAAATAGGGCTCAAAGTGGGCAAAATCGCCGATGCTTAAACATCGTCGAGATGCTAATTTCGCGAGAGCATAATTCCGTAAGTTTTCCATCAAATTTCATACTTTTGGTGTCATTATGATCGGGAAAAGATTCTCTATCTTTTCATAAGATTTTTTTTTTTTTTTTTTTTTTTTTTTTGAAATTTGGGCAACCCTGAGAACAAGTCTGGGAGAGGGCCTGGGGACCCTGAAAGGGTTAATAAACATAGTATAATCTTTTGTTTAAATTGGGAATTGTTGTACTAGATTGTGGGCTTCATTGTTAACATTCAAGTGTCAGAAATTAACCCTTTCAGGGTCCGTCCCATAGATCTACGGCTTTGCGTTCAGGGTCCAAACCGTAGATCTACGTCATGAGCTCAGCTCACTCTGATAAACTGTGAGTGGTACATTTGGGCCTAGATATGAGAGAATACATCTATGTGGTATGTGTGCACCACATAAAACAAATCCTGCAGCACATTGTGTATAATGAGAGAAAAAAAACTGAGACCATGATTTTCGATTAAAACAGTGACTTTGCAGTGTTTTTCGTATGTTTTTTATAGTTGTATTTGCGATTTCTTGGTCTCATTTGATAGAATGGAAGACATATTACAGAAATAGAGATGATTTTGATTGGTTTTAGCACTGGAAATGGCTTGAAACTGAGCTCAAAGTAGCGGAAATGTTAAAATTTTGCCGATGTTCAAGAGTAAACAAACGACCTCACACGTCTAATACACATGAGCTGGTGGGTCTAATATAAATTTACAAATGTGGTGATGATATTTATACAATTATTACAATTTTGCATAACAGTAAATCTTCTATTTTTTGGTGTGAATAAAAATTCATTATGTGAATAAGAAATCAAATTAGAATTTATTTGTAAAGACTCAAACGTAACTAATGAACAGAGGAAATGTTAGTTTAGTCCCAGGAATACCTACATTGTTTATTCTGGACCCTATTTTGAAATTGGAATATTTTGAACTTTGTGTTAAATTGGCCAAATTACCAATTTCCAATCACATTATTTTGTAGTTGAAACAGTTGACTTGGCGATTTCTTGTGCTCAATCGATTGAATAGAAGTAATACTAGTGAAATAGCTAAGAATTTGGTCGACTGGAATAATGTAATTGGCCTAAAATGGGAGTCAAAGTCGGCAAAATCGCCGATTCGTAAATATCGCTGACACCTCAAAATTTGCGAGAGCATAATTTCGTCAGTTTTCCATCAAATTTCGTACTTTTTGTTTTATTACCTTCACAGAAGGATTCTCTACCATTTCATAAGAAAAAATAAATTTTTTTTTTTTAAATTCTTGGACACTGGGGCACCACTTCAGATTTTGGCCTTGGACCCTGAAGGGGTTAAGGTATACAAAAATTGTAAACATCAGATACTCATTTCATAAGAATTTATGAATTACTTCATATTTCTCCAGACTTACAACCGTAATTCATAAGTAAACTATTCAACTTTATTTTACTGATTTCTTTGCTTCTTGCCAAAACTACAGATGCCAGAGTTTGTATGGTAGTAATTACCCATTTTATTTTATATTTGTTGCAG